TTTGGTTTACCTTTTTCTCAGTTTGTAAGGGTTCTGTCTGCACTTGTTAAAGCACAAACCACTGAGAAATCTGAAACTCCAATCTACACTTCCTCTGGGTAGATTTAATTTCCTTGTATATGTCAGCCCTGCGGTTCAAGCGTTCTAGCTGGGGGGTGGTGCAATGTTGTGATGCGGATGGGGATCCTTTAAATTTGGATGATTCTGGTCATAACGCTGTTTTGTGGGTTCAGAAGATGACTTACAAGTTGAAGCAACTATTGATGAGCATCTTGAAGGGACTGGTTTTGATTTGGACTCAAATCCTTGGCCGGTGTCTCGACAGCCTGGACCTAAAGTGAATACAGTTGCGCTGCCACCAGTGGTTGGACGATCCAGTACCTTTTATTTAGAGAACTTGCTTGCACATGCCATTCAGAATTTTACTGAATCTCCCGTACAACTGCCGTGTGAGTCAGATGAAAGGGCCTGCATTTTTGACCCAAACATGATCCTTTGGAGACGTTGGTACCTCAGTTTGAACCGAAGCTCAAAGTTCCGAAGTTGATTCATGATAGGCCTGCTTGTGAATTGAATGCGGCAGTGGATGATTCTAGTCATGCCTTTCACAACCGTGGTTCACCAGTGCAGTGTCCAGAAGGAAGGACCAGGTTTGGACGAAGAAGCGGGAAGCTGAGTTGCAGAGGGCACTTATGAAATGGGATACAATCGTCAGAAACTGGCCAGATGCGTGGCGATGCAAGCGTGAGCTGTTAGCATGCTCTATGGTGAATGATTCAATGATGATTCAAAGAACCGGCTTGGAGACTATTTATCAAAGAAAGCGCCATCGACCCTTGTGAAACGAGCAAACAGCATGGTCTTTTTACGCACCACTTGCAACAGTTGGTATTTTTCTGGCCTGTTGATGAGTCCGACATGTACAGGATCATTACGACGTTGCATTCATCTAGTAACAGCACTAGCCGTTTGAAGTCAATCCTGGAAGCCATCACCTTTTGCAGGTACTCCTTCGACATCGAGGACCTTCATCCGATCACGGTCAGCAAGCGCTGCCTGGGAGTCACTGGAGGAGATGTTGCAAACAAGTTGAACCAAGCTCCACTGTTGACTGTTGCAGACATTTGGCAATTGCATTTGTGCTTGGACACGGGTGATGCTTCGGACAGGGTTTTCAGTGGAGCAGCTCTTTTCTGCATATACGCACGTGCAAGATGGAGTTACTTTATTCATGGCAACCACATTAGACTGGGTGTGCTGGATTCTACCGGCAAAGTGGCTTATGCGATTTTTTGTGCAAGGTTTGGCACCTCGGTTGCTTTACGATAAAGGTTTGGTTTGCGCCAAAAATGACATGGAGGTGCAAATTCATAAGACCATGAAGGCTGGGGCTAACAAGTTTAAGTTTTTGGACTTGGTTGTTTCTGGCCGTGGAATTTTTTTTGGAGATGATTGGGTAAGAAGCTGGATTGATGCACTCAACAACATTGGCGTTGACCTTTTTTTTTCGAATGAACCTGGCAAGACCTTGATGCCAGCACCAGCTGCAGATGGCACAGCCCTTCAAAGAGCCTTAGAGAGTGACGAGGACGATCCGTTTGATTGACAAACTTTTGCTGGATATACGTGCAGGGTATTTGGACCCAGATTTTACGAGGGCTGGAAGGTTCAACAAGAACTATGCACCAGATCCCTCTATGGATGTGGGCGCCATTTCATTTGTTGAGAGTGATGTCGAAAGTGCTGCATTGGAAGCAACAGTTGATGGAGCACTGGATGATGCTGTGCAAGTGGTTGAAGATGACAAAATAGAGTTGGCAGAAAAGCATTTCACGAGCTCATCTTCGGACAGTGATGCTGAGAGTTTGGAATACAATGCTCCTGTCAGGATTTTTCAGCCGCCAACTGCGCCATCAGGTTTCCACTTCATGCAGCACAAGCGAACCAGGACACTCCACCTCGTTGATGCCAAGTATCCTCATGGAACTTGTTATGGTCGAGTGTTAGATCAGAACTTTGCAGAGCCCTCGCAACTTCGGTATGACTCTGCAGTTTGCCATGTGTGCCGAAGGCATAGGATGGCTTGAGGCGGCATTCGAACTCAGCCAAAAGGTTGTGTCAAAAGATAAGTTGCAGCGCTGAGGTCAACTTGACGTGACCTTCAATGCTCAGTTTATCCATTTTTAAGTTTAGTTGACCGGGGTGGTTTTATGAAATTTTTCCAACCGGTCAAGTGTTGCTCCAACGGTTTCCGAGTGGTTGCAACAAGTGGGGTGAAGAGGAGTACGAACCTTATACCCATCAAAAACTTTTTATCCCTTGTCAAATGTGGTAATCCAATTTGACAGTGGTGATGGAAAGGTGCAGCAGGAGATCAGTCTTGTGAAACCAAAGACACAACAAGTCACAATTTTTGGGTTGACAATGTGTGGCAGTCCAACATTGTAAAGTCAAGGATCCAGTGGTGTCCGGGCCATCGATGGCAGCGGTTCGAAATCTCCACGTGTGGGTCTCTGGCTCATAGCTCAGTTTGAAATGTTGGACATTGTGATGCAGGTTTTTGACATGACAATTGCAGAGGCCGGGACGTGACAAACAAAATTTTTTTGTTATGTTCAACACAAAAGGGTTTGAAGGATTCATTTCAATGACAGCGCGTTCAACCTTTTAATTTTCAGTTAGAAATAGTTGAGCAACGCAGCCATGACTCTTGTGGACTCTGAAGCTACATTCAAGCAACGTTGTGCAGAGCTGTCAACAACAATGCTGGATTTGCATGTGCTGTTGACGGCGCAGAACATATCATGCTTCTCAGAGCTGGCATTTTCATGTGGGCACCCAACAAATTTTCAAAGCGCCTGCAGACGAAGAGTTCAGAAATGTGTCAACGCAGGTTTTAGGTGCAGGGTTCACAGCTGGACAACAGAATTTGTTGAGAAGAATTCGTTTCGAAGCTGCTACCTTTGTTCTCTTACAGCTCAAATCAGCAGTGACAATTGATTTCTTGGATGGTGCAAAGAAGCTGCCATTGACAGAGAGGCAAGCTCGCTACGAGAAGGTGCGGACAAGATTCCAGGCTTTTTGATTCAAGGTGGAACGGAACCATCACATGTTCTGTTGGACAAGTGCCAAAACATTTATGACACCGGTGCAATCAATTGGGTTTCACCATCAATGTGTACCAAGAGGGATGCAGAAGTACAAGCTATGCCAAAGGATTTACACCAGATCCAACGCATCGAGTCACAGACGCTTAAGGTTGGAACAGGAAGGCCCGGCTCAATCAAATACAGTTTCGCACAATAATTTGTTGCAGGAGATGCCCGACACGCCTGAAGGTGTCCAGTTGAAAATAGTATCACCAACTCAACGACTCAGAACAACTGACTGCTGAAAGATGTTCACTGAGAATCCCCGAGGTGCCGTGACCCGAAAAGTTCTGTCTGAAAACATTCTTTTCTTGGAGGTATTTGCTGGAACTTCTTCACTAGCCATCGAAGTGCGCAAAACGAACCCGCGCGGAGTGGCTGTTTACAAAGGTACAGAAAAGGAAAAGGGGCCTATTACAATTTTGGGCCTCACCAAGCCCACAAGCGAAGTTGAAAGGTGCTGGAATAACTCCGCCACAGCAGCTGCGTTCAGAACAATTTCCAATGGGACTCCCAGGGATTACCGTTTAACTTACCTTGTTCAGGGGATCACCCTCACAAGCCATGGACACCAACTTTGACAGCTGATGGTGCCCTTCTCCTACAAAGGATGAAGCAGACTATCCAAAGCTCCTACTATGTCAAAGAGTAGCGGTGCTCTTGATTGCTGATTTGCAGGCATGGATACAAGCCGCATTCTGCCGCGGCTCACTAAGGGAGCTCGAATTACTGACCGAAAACTTCTTACTGGGGGTGACAAACGGGTTTCCGATCTGACAGGTGAATCTCTGATGTACTTAGAAGGGCTAAATGTTGGCAACGAGACAAAGGTTGAGCTTGTGACGTTTGGAATCCCAAGAGAGCCTTGGGACTTTGTTAGGAAGGCTGCACAGGTTGGACATCCGAGATTCTTGCCATACAATGGTTCGGAACAGCTTGATGACTCGTTGTGGACAAACCTGAACCATCATGCTTGCGCGTTGGATGACTGGAGACTTGCTTTCTTCAAGAAATGGGTGGCCAGAGCAAAAGAGCTAGAAAAAGATGAGCGAAATCTCAGATTGGAGCTGGGAGAACATGTCAGACACGTTTTGCAAGGGAAACGTTTGTTGAATTTCAAGGAGATACTGGAGGACCTGCAGTTCCCAGACAAAAACCTCTCCAGCGACATAATCACAGGTTTTAGATTGTCGGGTTGGATGAGAGACTCGAAGGTGTTCATGAGTTTGCCTCGTCCTCCTAAACTAACCTTGGAAGCCCTCCTGAAGTCCTCTATTGGTTTGCAGAAAGCAGTACTCAAGCGTGTCAGAGAACCTGAAGATGTCGAGTTACACCTTGCGGCTTGGGAAGAAACTCAAGCTGAATGCGAGCGGAAGTGGATCTGGGAAGACACATCCGGCGATCTTCACAACAAAACAATAGCACGTCGGTTTGGTTCGAGGCAAAACGAAAAGGTGAGAGTCATCGACAACTTCAAGCAGAGTAGTTTGAACCATGCTTGAGGGCCTTCTGAGAAGTTTACGTTGCATGGGTTGGATTTTATTGCTGCTTCCTTGGTTAGAGCGCTGGTGTTGAATCAGAAGTCAAACACGGTTGCCCCGAAAGGAAAAACGCTTGACCTGAAAGCAGCATACAAACGATATCCTATCCACCCTGTAGACTGGCAGCACCTCAGGATAGCAATTCGCGATCCTAGCACTTGCTAGGCAAAGCTCTACAACTTAAACAGCCTCCCTTTTGGGGCTACGGGTAGCGTTGCTAGTTTTCCTCAGGGTCAGTTCGGCCCTCTTCTACATCTTGAGTGTGGGCTTGAAGGTATAGTGCAGCGCTTTCTTTGACGACTCCCCAACAATGGCAGCGAATGCAGCCGCCGCTCCGACGGGTAAGTGCGTTGGATTCTTGTTCGACTTGCTTGGAGTGCAGTATGCGAAGGAGGGCAAGGAAAACCAACCATTTCAGCAACGAGATGAGAGCACTGGGTCTAGTCTTTGACCTGTCCAAGTTTGATGAAGGTGTTGGCTTCATCAATCACACTCCTGAGCGTAGGTTAGAGTTGTTGGAAAAGATAATATCGATCTTGAAATCTAACGAACTTTCTCCGAAGGAAGCCGAGTCGCTCAAGGGCAGAGTGCAATGGTTTGAAAGTTTCTTGTTTGCCTGGACGGCAAACCGTGCTATTCACCGACTGGGGAAGAGGGCCCTGATGAAAGGTGGAAGGCAGGGCCGCAAACTTGATGCGGAACTAAGAACCTCCTTGGAGTTCCTACAACACAGGGTTGAACATGGAGCTCCTCTTCAACTAACTGCCACCGCAGAGCGGTCTATTCTAATCTTCACAGCTGGAGCCTTTGATGAAGTGACGGGCATAGGGTCGATTGGTGGAGTCCTCTTGGACCATGATGGCACCGCACTCAGCTACTTCAGTGAGCGGGTTCCTGACCTGCTGATGGGACTTCCTCGAAGGGGGTACATTGTGATGTATATTGGCAACGAAGCCTCTCGAATGGCCTTGGTCTAAGCCTACTCCTCCACACTTCTTGGAAACGGTGTGATTGAGCCCTTCGTGCAAGAAGAAGACCAACATCAATGGAAGGTGTGGTTCGAAAGAGTTTGCAGCCACTCAAATATAGCTGATGGCCCCAGCCGTGGACATGTTGAAGACATGAAAGCTTGTGGGGCCGTGCACAGCCAGTGCGCATGGGGCGTGGTCATATGCTCACTGGAAGCAGTCGAGCACAGGCTCAGATGGGGGTGATGGCGGGTGCTCGAACGTGTTAGCATCCCATCATTCCGGTTGGAGCTTGGATAGACCCCCGTGAGTAAAAAGAAAGAGTGGCGATCATTCACTTCGGTTGCAGTCGATTCAGAATTGCGAATGTTCGTTTTGCACTTGATTTTTTGGAGATTGCACATGTCAGCTTTACATGTTGTTTCGAGTTGACGAGTGATCCAACGTTTGTGTATGATGTACACTACATATATATATATTGATGTGGAGTTGTTTGTTTCATACGAATTTAAGCGGAGTCAGAATATATGTCTTTCGACATTGCCAGCATCTGGTTCGGCTTTCCTTGGTTCACACTTGGGTGGTTTTGCAAAGGGAATAAGTTAGCGCTCCTGAAAGGATGATAACATTATTTCCTGCGGCAAAATCTTTTGCCTTTTGTTTGGCAAAAGAAACCCAACAAGTGCGAACCAAGCTAAACTGTTTCAAACCAAAACTGAAACTTCCACAACTGCTGTTTTTCCAGAGTTGGTGGTTTTTGGTTTACCTTTTTCTCAGTTTGTAAGGGTTCTGTCTGCACTTGTTAAAGCACAAACCACTGAGAAATCTGAAACTCCAATCTACACTTCCTCTGGGTAGATTTAATTTCCTTGTATATGTCAGCCCTGCGGTTCAAGCGTTCTACCCTCCCACAACCACCCTCTTGCACTTCCATATCTACTTCCATGTTCCGTGCAGTGAGACACACAAGTGTCTTAAAATTGCAAATTCTGCTCAGTCAATTCTTTTCTTTGCGAAGGTTCGCAAGACAGTCTTACAGCTGTAGTGCCAAATAGAACAAACGGTGGACCTTCTGCAAGACATGGGCTTTGACGGACATTTTATCGTGGTCTTTTGGACCAGATTCATGCTGAATTTCCAAGATTTCTGCTCCAGTGAGTTCGAGCTATTTGCGGGCTTGAACACCGTCTCTATGACCCTTTCTCGCAAAGACTCCATGTTTGATTTCCGTTTGATTACAAGAGACAGACGGCTTTTCCGTCTGCTGCCTAACCCTTAGCCTGTGATGGCGGGTGCTCGAACGTGTTAGCATCCCATCATTCCGGTTGGAGCTTGGATAGACCCCCGTGAGTAAAAAGAAAGAGTGGCGATCATTCACTTCGGTTGCAGTCGATTCAGAATTGCGAATGTTCGTTTTGCACTTGATTTTTTGGAGATTGCACATGTCAGCTTTACATGTTGTTCGAATTGACGAGTGATCCAACGTTTGTGTATGATGTACACTACATATATATATATATTGATGTGGAGTTGTTTGTTTCATACGAATTTAAGCGGAGTCAGAATATATGTCTTTCGACATTGCCAGCATCTGGTTCGGCTTTCCTTGGTTCACACTTGTGTGATTTTGCAAAGGGAATAACAAAAGGAAAGTCTAAAGGGAAACAAAAGGGAAAAGACGTGAAAGGAAAAGGCAAAGCTTTTGACCAGAAAGGAGCAAAGGGTAGCGGAAAAGGAAAAGGAAAGAATGAGCCCAAACAATGTTTCAACTGTGGTCGTTCAGGGCATTTTGCTCGCGATTGCTGGCAGCCGCAACAAATTCGAAATGTTGGCTCTGAGAACTTGCAAGGGTCTACAACAGTGCAAGGGTCTCCAACCTCTTCGGTTGGGGGCATGTCAAGCGTTTCTCAGCAACATGGCAGCCAACAGATGCCAGTCAATCCAGCGTCGGCCACTCAGTACAAGGTTGCAAGGATTGTTGAAATTGGTGATGATGTCTCAAGACATGGTGAACTGGTTTTTGACATGAGAGATTGCAGTCCGAGCCGTGTGCAAGGAAATGTAAATGTTGTCCATCACTACATAGGTGATGACTTGGATGATTGCGTTGGTGATTTCAGTTTCAGTGGTGCCATCCGAACAGTTGTGGATGTTGACAACGATGCAGTTGCAGGAACCTCAGAAGAGTTGCATAGCATTTTGATTGACAGTGGTGCAGATGCTTCAATTTTCCCAGCGTATCTGCTTGGAAAGGGTCAACAGGTTGTGGATTCAGTGGGAAAACTCTGTGATGCTCAAGGTGTCGAGATTCCCATAGCTGCAGTTCAGGACATGGAGATCAGATTGAAAGACTTGACAGGACGAACAATCTTGCTTCGTGAGCGAGTTGCAGTCTCAGACAAAGTTGGTCAACCCATTCTTTGTTTTGGTCACCTTCTTGAGAGCGGTTGGGGAATCGATGCAACACAACAGACACTGACCCATGCAATTGCAGGTGCACATGTCTCACTGGAAATGCAGAACAAGTCAATGGTGGTTCAGGGTACAATCAGAATGCTTCAACTTTGTGATGTCAATGATGATTCCTTCCGTGTCAGGGCAATTCAAGCTGAAGTTCAAGATAGCGTTGCACATGGCGCTGTTGGTTGGGAGCTTGATGAACGTGGATGCGGTATTGGCAGGCATTACCCTGACAGGTTTCAAGATCCATCAATGGTGAAACCAGGCATGCCTGGGCGTTTCTTTAGGACGACTCTTGTGCAGGGCCGTGACAGCAAGTGGTATGTTTTGGAGTTGTGCGAACAGCTTGATGGACTTGTTCAATTGGATGCAGAGTTTCATGAAATGCATGGCAGAAGAAATGTGATAACGTTTGTTACAGACTCAGAAAAGTATCCAATGGTGCTTGGTTTTACGTTGGTAGATGAGCAGCCTGAAAGGTTTCCAGTTCAGGCAGACGATGACGATGTGGACATTCCCGATGAAAGCATGCAAGTTCAGGGCGCTCAGATTCCTGAGGGCAGAGTGGCAATTCAACCAACTGCAGAGGACGAAGTCAATGTGAATGGCACTTTCCTCAGAGAAAGTAGCAGCCTTGCAGCTCTGCGTGCTGGATGTTCATTTTACAGTTTATCGACATCGGGATCCAAGTCAAAGTGTTTCAAGCGTTTGGTTGAGCATTCAAAGAAGCTGGAGTTAGATTAGACATGGTCATGGCAGCAGCTCGTGAAGCTGTCAATCAGCAAGAGCGCTCACCGTTGGCGCCGGTCTCAGCAGAAGTTCCAAGTGAATGGGAGCAGTCACAACATAGGCTGACTCACTTACCTTTCAAATCATGGTGCCCGTCTTGCTTGGCACATCGTGCACGCTCAGACAAGCACGAGCGTTCAGGGGAATCGCACTCTGGTCCGGTCCCTACAATCAGCTTTGATTTCTTCTTTACAAAGTCAGATGGAAAGGATGCAAAGGGTGATGAGCCAAACAACATCACCTCGCTGATTGTGGTTGACAGTCATACCAGTTTTGTTGCTTGCGTGTCTTTGGAAGGGAAAGCTCAGTTAGACCATGCAAACAGAGAAGTGATCAAGTTTGTGCAGATGCTTGGATACAGTGAAATCATTTTGCACTGCGACAACGAGCCAGCCATTTTGCAATTGAAACGTTTGGTGCTGAAAACGAGACAAAGTATGGGTTTGAAGACAAGGGAATCAAGCACTGTGGCTTACGACAAATCCAACAGTCTTGCAGAGAACGCCATCGGGCGTGTGAGGCCACTTGCATGTTCCCTCATGCACCAACTCCATGGAAGGCTTGGAATCCAACTTCCTACAACAAGTGCAATTTGGACCTGGTCGTTACGACATGCTGCATGGTTGATTTCGAGGTACTCTGTAATCAGAGGAGCAACACCTCATGAGTTGGCATTTGGGCGAACTTACAATGGTGAGTTGTGCGAGTTTGGGGAGCCAGTGTTTGCTTACGTGGTGCCAAACACAAAGGCATCAGCTCGATGGAAACGGATGCTCTTCTTGGGCAAAGCAGACACTCAGAACAGCTATGTTTTGTTCGATGGCCAGGCAATTGTGATGTCCAAAAGTGTCAGACGCATCACAACAACCTGGAGAAGCCACATGGCCTACTACCTTCACTGCAAATGCTTTTCTTGGCAATTTCGTTCAGGTGTTGGCCCCCGAGTTTTGCCCACGATGAAGAAAGCCGTGCCCAAAGCAGTCAGCTTTGAAATGCCGCTGGAACCAATAGAAGAAAACAAGTTGCATGACAAGGATGCTGAAGCAGTGATTGAGTACAGTGAGAAAGAGAAACAGGCCGAGGAGGAGCAGCTTGCCATTGCTTCTCAAGAGCTTCAAGCAATGGTGCCTCAACAGTCTGAAGTTTCTGGAAGCGCTCCATCCGGTAACGTGCCTGAAGATGCTCCAGCAGTTCCTATGTCAAGTTCCCCGATGCATGTTGAAGCTCCAGCTGGTTCAGTGCCTAGTGCTGGCCATGCTGGAGGTGATGGAGATGCTGAGGACCCAGGTCTTGCAGTTCCAGTTACTCCACCACGTGACTTTGTGATGGTGGAACCTTTGAGTGATGCAGAAGCTGATGTTTCAAGGGGACAACGCACTGAAGATGCAAAACGCCAGAGGATCAGTCGTTTGAAGGTGGAGTATGAGAAACGTTTGAGTGAGGTGAAACTGGCGTACAAGGAATACTTCACTGTTGATGACTGTACAACAGATTTGGACTTGGAGGAGGAAGACAACGAAGATGTTTGGGCTGGTGAAGATGATGTCAAGTTGCAAGGCATCCCCATGGAGCTGTGGTCGGATCATCCCATTGACAAGCAGCCACCTTTTCCTGACAGATGGATCGATGACTTAGCCGACAAGGTTGAAATTCAGAGGTTGCGTGAGATGAAGGTTTTGGTTTTAGCAACTGAGTGCCAAGACGATCCAACTGGAAAACTTACAACAAAATTTGTCAGGGATTGGCGGTTGAAGAGTTTT